TCTAGAACCCATCCCTTCTCTAAGGAGAGGTCAAAGAGTGGAGTCCAACTGCAGGAAACTGAGGGCCAGAGTTAGCACTCCCCATCAGAGAATAACATCTCTGCTCCTTCACCTCTAAATCTTGGGGAGGTCCAGGAAGCTCAGACTATGAGCATCTCCAGGAGATGCCTAGGAAGGAAGCAGAATCCAATCCACTGCTTAGAACTTCATCTGGAAACTGGGTCTGGTTTACATCGATAAATAGCCAGAGTATGTTTCTTTCCATCAGTGCCTCTGGGAGTCTGTTCATCACCACATGCAGATTCAGAAAAGTAAAAAATGGTGATATATTTTAGCCCAAAAACCTTCAGCAGAGAGACTCGGTCACCTGTCACCCAGTGCCAGCCAGGGAGTGGGTTCACAGGTCAGGATTGCTGCCATTTTACTGCTTGAAGTGTGTTGAAAAGGCAGTAGTGTAAATACCGAGACTTTTCAGTGAAGAGGTCAGGACTGGCAGCATCTGTGTCGGTGACTCAGCCCCTACAAAATCACAAGCATTTTGTGGAGCACCCTTGTGTCAATCTCTTGGTGATAAGAGCTTTTGCCTAGTTTAAAAAAGTAGTTCATGAAGTCAAGCTCCCAAAGCCAATAAATCAGAAAACAAATAAAGGTCCTCAGATATATTCATGGCATCCAAGAAGTACTGAACACTCCCGAAAAGCAGACACAAGCTGCGTGTTTTCAGTGCCCTCATTGTTAAGGAAACTTCCCAGTCTGACCATTCACGAGACTCTCTGAAGTCACACTCCCAGTGCCAGAATTCCACTGCTGGGACAGAAGCCCCTTCACAGCAGGCAGATCCAGTGAGCTCCAGGGTGTCCCTCTGGACTCCCTAATCACACAGCCCCACCAGGTTTCCTTCTCAGTGTAACCCACCTCAGAGTCTCATATGTCTGCTTCCATTAAGCCATTTATTCTTCCAAGGAGGACCCGCAATAAAGGTACCCCTGAGCTTTTATAACCTCACAGTCTCCCAACATACAAGCCTTGCTCTTCCTCCGGAGTCCCTGTCTCCATGTGCATCCACCCCACTGAGGTCACCCCTCTCCACCTCAGAGCCTGGTAGCTCCTGGCTTCTGATGTGTCCCCTCAATGTCCATTCACCTGGCTAGCAGTCACCTGTCCTCACACCCTTTGTTATCCCAAAAGATTGGCAATTCATGGCCTCTTGTCTCAGTCTGTATCTCAATCTGCAGTTTGCAAGCTGAGCTACCTGGGCCAGATGTACTCCTCAACACTCAGTATGGACAGAGAGCCTCACTTAAGAAGTTCATTTTTTAAGTTCTCCTTCTCCTATGTCACTAGATTTCTGATGTGTGCACAGTAAAAGATGCCAAGGAGGGGTTTAAACAGATCCTGTATCAAAGCACACAGGGCTAGGCAGTGTGTGAATGTTTAGAATTTGTTTCACCAGCTCAGGGCAGCCTCCTACCGAGATCCATCACTCCATGCCAAGGTCTTGGAAACCAACCACGTTTCCAGCAGAAGCTTTGGCTGTTGCATGAGATGCTCCCCTCACTCAGGTGTGTGTCCACCTGGAGCAGCTCCTCCAGCAGCTCCTCTGCATTTTGGGGCTGACTCATACAAACCACATTTTCCTGCTGTGCATGATAAATCCTGATATTAGTGACTAATAGTGTCTATCAAATTTTTTCCCCATTTTTCTGTGCTCTGTAAACAAGCACATCTACAAGCCATTCCCACACTATGGTTATGGCAAGTGGCAGCCCTGGCTGGCTGCATCCCTCCTCCCTGTGTGTTCCTGCAAAACATGTCACAGGGAAGGCTGTCCTGGTCACAACCACAGCCTCTCACACACGGAAATCCCAATTTTATGTGCAAAAGCTCAGACTGTGTGCTTTGCTTTAGTTGCCTGCAGACCCCAGACTTGCCTTTACTTGCAAGCACATCTAGACCAAAGGAATGAGGTTTGGGAGTGGGAGTGAGTAGGAAATGGTTTTACATACTGATGTGAGTTCTAGTGAGAGGAATCACACTGCAAAACAACACTCGAACTGCACAGACTAATGAGATTGCACTCCAGCATGTTTGTAGAGGGTCCAGTCCCCACTGCCTTAGTAGCTTAATTGCTTGCAGTTCCTGATTTTCCACCTATGCTGACAACCTGCTAACTTGGGGTCAGAGTAAACTTTTGATTAAGCCAGAAGTTTAAATGGTTAAAGGTGAGACCTTTAGCTGCCCTTTGAAGAAAATTTTTAGTTTCCCAGGACCTAGGACACAGTGTCTGGGAAAAAGAGTCAGTTAAAGGTAAGTATGCGTGGAGGAAAGTGGCACTGTGGCAATTTAACAAATGTGGCTGTGCCAGGCTCTGCCTCCCACTGCAAAAGATCCAGTACCCAACAGGCAGAGATGTCCATGAAAGTGTCTGTCCCCTGCATTTTGGCCCTGACCAGCTTTCTGTCACAGACCATTAAGTCTGACCCTGTTCTGCCATGGAAACTATTTCATTAATCATTGGGTGCTCCATCAGTCATTCATGTCTTTGGGCATCCTAAAGCTTTGCAGATGTTAGAACAGCCCAGTTCCACAGGGATTAGGGATAGGTCACACAAGAAAATGCAGGGAACTTTCATACCCTCACACTGATGGGTTGGGATAACTGGGTGTAGGCATATTCAGGCAGAAACTGAATGAGCCATTGGTCTGCATGGCATCTCCTGCTTCTGTGGCAGAAGAATTTGAAGCACACATTATACTGTCACTTATACCAAAAACAGTGCTTTGTGACTTCCAGCTATTGCTCTGGAGAAGCCTGAGTAAGCCAGTGGTGCCCAGTCCAAGGCAGGAATGGAGTGTTAAGGAGACTTCTCTTTGTATACTCCTGAATCTCCCTGCTTAGACTAAAGTGATGGGGCTATCAGAAAAACAGATGGTCAAAGCTGGAAAATTTTTACTTGGGACAGGTGTCCTGGCTGCCAATGCAGTTTTGCTCCACTTAGTGGGAGCAGTGCCATAACTGGCCTGGCAGAAGCTGTGAATCTCAAGGCTTTCTTTCCCTTTTTCAGATTAATTTTAAGTTTCCCTCCAAAATGAAGTCAATGAATTCCCACTAATATTGGATCCTTCATGCTTCCTCAACTACTGCTGCTATTGTACAGAGCTATACAAGATATGATCACACAGACTTCCTCCCTGTAACAATCTGTCAAACAGCAATGATTTCTGAGTGCAGAACTTGTGGCCCCCTGTAATCCTTCCCACCTAGCCTCTTCCAGTCTTTAAAAATGATTCCATACTCTTTCCATTCCCATGAGACCTGTAAGTATGGCAGCTCATGGTTCTGTGGGAAGGGAAAGACCCTTTCTGTACTAGCCTGGTAAGATTTTGCATTAATGGGGCTTTAAATTGTTTTATTATGAACTACACAGACACAGAGCCCTTTGGCAAGGGCACCCTGTAGAAATAAATTGAATCATCATCCTTATAATAGAAAAGCTAATTCATTATGGATCTGTCCTCCAGTTAAAGGCATGCACATCCCTCAGAGAATGGTTTTACCAACTGACCAGACTTGTGCTTTTAACCACTGTTTACTTTTCCTGACAGATCATACTGTCCTGTGTATGGAAACAACTTATTCATGGCTACTACAGTAATGTGTAGGATCAGCCTGGTCCTGGACCACCCCCTAACTGTGCTGCTCTACTTCCAGGACTCCTGCATCATCCACTGCTAGAGGGACTGTTTGTCCTGCCCAGAACCTAATTGCCCTCTACTTTCTGCCTCCTTTTCTGCATAAAACGTAGCATACAACCCCAGCTTTGAAATACTCCTTAATATGTTAGAGTCTACAGAGGCTGTAAAACTTCTGTCTTGTTACAGAGAGAAAAATGAAGAATTCAGGTTGTCTGTCCATAGTGAAAATGTGTTTTCCTGGATCAGCTCTTTGTACCATTGTTATGACAGTAGACAAACACCTCTTCAGACATTTCCTCTTCTGCCTTGGCTTTCTTAATACCTTCTCTCTTTTGATTTGATATCCTCTTCTTCTTGGGAAGGAGGGATTTCATGTGGGACTGGGCTAAAAGGAATTTTAATGATCCACTAATTCCAGCATCCTGCAAAATATATTGAGTCACTTCACAAAATGTCTCTAGGTGCCCTCTCCATGATAGGACACTCCATGCAAACTCCAGACAAAGACTCCACTGAGCTGCCACAGGCCATGCATTGGAGCACCGTGGGTCACACCAGGGAACAGCACCCTCGAGAGCCTCCATGTGTGCTTTGATAAAAAAGCAAGGCTCCCATGCAGAGGTGTGTTCCAGGAGCTGGCTAAGTAGGCTGTACAGCAGATGTCCTGTGCAATCACTCTGCCTCCCTGCTGGCCACACTGTCCCAGGCCACCTTCCCTGAGGATGGCAAACACCAACACCTCTGAGTGGTAGGTGGGTTTGCCCATGTGTGCTGGACATCTGCTGAAAAGAACTCAACCAAGACAAACACACTGGTGGCCTTGTTCTTCTGGTACCTGACCCGTCCAGGCTGTGCACGCCTTTGCCATGGGAGTCTCTGTTCCAGCTGCTGCTTCCAGCACAGAACCAACACCATCCATCACAGCACTGGAAGTCTTCCAGGAATACTCACAGGTGGTTCAAATTTTGTCTTGGAGTCAAAACTTGCCTTGAGATTTGTCTCCAAGGCAAGATTTGAACCATCTGTGAGTAATACTGTGAGACTTGAAGGCACCAGTGGCCAAAAGCTGTTTTCTTGCAGAGCTCCTCAGCAAAGACAAGGTGCATCATTCCTGCCAGGCACCTGGCCAGGAGGGCTGTCACCAGGAGTCAGGACCTCACTGCTAAGGCCAGCAGCAAAGGGAGCAGCGTGGTCCAGAAACACAAGAGGAGAAGGACAAAATGCCAAGGAAATGACATAAGAACTTGTCTTTTCACAACAGGGAACCAGGCTTGGGGAAGGAAGCGACCTTCAGACATCTCACTGCGCTTTGGTAACACAAGCTGTACTCAAAGACTCCACACTGGTGATGTTGCAAGTACCATACAGCATTTTTTTTTCTGGTTGGTAAATTGAATGGACGTGTCCTGAAGGCTGTGAGGGTTGTGCTGTACAGACTGGTTTGGCTGGGTTGGTGCTTTACTGTGGTTGATAGATTTTTATCAGATGCTTTTACTTGTTAAATTTTCCTTGGTTGTGGGAACAATCCAGCAAATAGTAAAAATGATGGAGCACCAGGAGACGTGCAGCCAAGGAGATCATTTGTTTGGCTGGATCCCTTCCTACACAAGGGAGGCTTTGTGTGAGCTCACAGAAGAGCCGTGTTCATCTTGCTGTGGGTAGAACTGGCAGCAGGCTTCAGGCTTTGTCTCCTTGCAGAGTCAGGCTGGCTTGGTTCTCCACGGAGCCGAAAACTCATTATTTCCAAGGTTACAGCCAGGCTGCTGGGAGGCTACAGCTCTTTGTGAGAAGTGCCTGTCTCCCAGCAGCATTGCCAAGGAGGCAGCCGTGCCTTTGGACAAAGGAAGAGGTTTGTGCTGGTCTCAGAAAGGAATTCCATGCTGCCTGTGAGAGCTGCCATGGGGGTCGTGCTTCTTTGGCAGTGCTGACCTCCTCGGAGAGCTGCAAAGCTGGGGGAACCCATGGCCTGTGGGTCAAAGACACGGGCTGGTCATGGTTCCACCAGCACCTGGTCTCCAAGGTGGACTGCTCTGGTAGAGGTACATATGCAAAACTGGAAACTGATCAAATGCATGTGTGGAGGATTGGCTGCAGTGGCAGGGGGTGTGATGGCAAAGGGACAGCCCTCCCCGGGGTCTCCTGGGGTGCACATCACTCCTGCTCCTGCAGCACCAGCTCCCAGAAGCTCCTGACTAGGCACTGCCTCCGGGCTCCTTGTCACCAGCTGGGCCAGGCAGGACTCAGTCCAACAGCTGGGTGCTGAAGGCTCCAGAGGGGTGCAGGCAAACACTGGCCCCCTGCTCCCATCTGAGGTACATCTGCACCACGATGGGTGTTTCTCTGTCCGTGACGCTGCAATCTTCCTCTTACAGACTGCTTTGTCACAATCTGGATGTAAAACTGGGGGGAGCAGTAGCACCAGTCCTGAAGGCAGCTGTCCCTACAGGCATGCCTAGTTTTAGGAGCTTTGTGAGGGTGTGGAGAATCATTTGTAAGTATCCCTGTTTCTGGATCTAGACCATGGCACAGCAATGTGCTCTGACTTCTCTGTGCGAGATGCTCAGGGCCAATGGCAGTGGATGGCAGGTCTGTTTAAATGTGTGTGTCTCCTCCAAAAGCTGATGATGTGGCCAGTGATGCTTCACCACAGCTTTTTTTGGGATGAGGGATGCAAGTCAATCTAATCATATATACATGAGAAAAATCAATGCCCTGGCAAAGCCAGTCCTATTTCTGGCTAGAACATGTCAAAACTCATCTTCAAAATGCATCTTGAGTCATAACCACATCCAGTTCACAGGAGGAACCTCACTTCCTGGCCTTGTTGGGTGCAGGGATGAACATCCTTCATTGTGGGATCTTCACCACATACAGAACTTGACACCAGAAATTGAGTGGTTTGGAATGAAGAGGAGGGAACAGCATGCATAGGGCATACCCTGGAGTTCATCTTTGGATGCAAGGTGGGATGAAGATCCCATGAAAAAGCTGAACATGTGGACATGAATTAAAAGCTGTCTTCAAAGCAGTGCTTGTGTGTGTTGGCTAAGATTGCAAAGATAACTCTAACACCCTGTCTCCACACCAGGCCATGGCTGTGATGCCTCAGCCTGCCACAGCCATGTTTCAGTAGGTTAAAAGGAGAGGCATCTGAGTGACCCAGCAGAGCCATGATGGGTGGTGGGCAAGAATGGCATCACTGGACAGCCAAGAGATTTTGCAGATGCAAAATGTGGAGTGCAGATTTTTGAAGTGTTTATAGCTCTGTCCAGCCACACACAGCTTTTCAAAGGTCAGCAGGAGACCTAGCATATCTCTGCCAGAAAATTTGTCCCTTGTCCAGAGATCTTGTCTTAATGGCTGAACAAATATTTTCCTTGACTTTTCCCAGGTGGGAAACACCTGGGCTGTTATGGCCAGATTTGAAAATAATAATAATAATAATAATAATAATAATAATAATAATAATAATAATAATAGTAGTAGTAGTAGTAGTAGTAGTAGTAAAAACAGACCTCTAGCATTTCAGTGAAGGTAGGTCAAGCTTGGCAAACTTCCCATAACTGCAAACTGGGCTTTTTGCTGTGGGCAATGCTGGGCAGCATTAGAAGGCAGCAGGCAGCCGTGGTGCCCAGAGCTGGGCAGCCCAGGCGCCAGCTGGAGGAGCTGGCAGCACACTGGCCAGCTTTCCTGCCAGGAATCAGCCTGGCAAGCCAGTTCAATAGCCTGCCTGTGTCCCACTGGAAAACATCAAGGAAGATGTCACCAGTGATGAAATTGCTGACAACTCAGTGGACTCTACCAGGAAAATTATCCATCAGAAAAAAAAAAATTGCCATCTCTATGCTTGAGCATCTCTGCCCAAATAGTAGCACCATGTGGAAGAGAAATTCCCTTTTAGCACAGGATTTTGCTGTGGTCCCATGCAGAATTTGCTGTGAGAGATGAACATCTCAGCTGTTTAGCAGGGCAGCTCCAACCACCTCACTCTGCAAAAACAGCCACATGCACATCCTGGCGTCACAGCGCCGCTTCAGCTGGTGACTCAGGCATTGGCCTTTGCATATCTGCCATCAGCTCCAGTTTATGCAGGGCCTGACTGCTTTGCTTATGCATTTCTACATCTCCAGATCCTAGGAGATGATGTTTGTCTTCACTCCACAGTCGTGGTAGGAAGGGCCAGTCAGCTGGGCTCAGGATGGGGCAGCCTTCCCAAAGGACAGCTGATCTTCCTCTTGCTTTGTTAAGACAGGTTTCGCAGGAGTGGGTGTCACATCTGCCTTTTCCCTCCAGGGCTGACTGCCCCAGAAGAGCAAGCATCATGAACATGTCCTCCTTGTTTTCCAAAGATCCTGTGAAAGTCCTGCCTGGTCTGCATTCAGTCAGGACTCAAAGTATGAAATTATAAAGTCCTCCTGGGTTTTTTCATCATTCAGTCTCAGGCACACAGAAAGCTCACTGGGTTTTTCAGTGTCTGGTTGAATCCACATGCTTATCTTTCCAGACCGGGCTGCACCCAGCCCACATGGGCTTGAGGAAGAGCTGGGGTTGGTAGCTCCCCTGGGACTCAAGGAGGTGAGGTGGATTGAAAATGTGGTGATTAGCAGCACAAACTCTAGCTGGAGGCCAGTCACTAGCACAGTATCTCAGGGGTCATAACCACATCCAGGTCTGTTGGGAAGGAGCTTTTCTGAAAAGGATCTGGTGATCTTAGCAGGCACCACACTGAACATAAACCACAGAGAAGACTAAGGGTGTCCTGGGTTGCCTTAGTCAAAACATTAACAGGAGGTGAAGAGAGGGGATGTGCTCAGCCGTGGTGGATCACCGCTAGTGCTTTGTGTCCAGTGCTGGTCCTCTCAGTGCCACGGAGATAGGGGCACAGTGGGGAGAGGCCAGTGAAGGTACACGGAGGTGAATGAGGGACTGAGAGAGGGGGCAAAGCAGAGGGAGCCAGGCTCTTCCCAATGGTGCCCAGTGCCAGGACCAGAGGCCACTGGCACACGCTGGAACACAGGAGGGTCCCTCTGAACTTGGGGAAACACTTTTTCATTGAGTAGGACCAAGCACTGGCACAGCTGGCCGTGCACGTTGTGAAGGCTCCATCCTTGGAGATGTCCAGCAGCTGTCTGCACACAAGCCAGGACCGCCAGCCCTGGGTGACCCTGCTGGAGCAGGGCTCGGACCAGATGACCTCCGGAGGAGCCGGCTGTGGCTCTGTGAGCTCCTCCAGAGGAACACGGAGCCTTTTGTTCACCCCAGCTTCCACCTTGGGGCTGGCGAGACGTGATGGGGCGACAGGAACAAGGAGAGAGTGCGACTGCAGGCGGCGATGGGGTGACAGTATACCAGGGCTGTGGCCAGGCTGAGGTGGGGTCGTGAGGGGGCAGAGGTGACGCTGTCCGCAGCGGTGTGAGGGAGTGCCGGGGGTGTGAGGGTGTGGCGGGCGTGCGCCAGGCTGCGATGGAGCAGGCAGGGGAGGCTGGGGACGGCTCGGCTGCAGAGGGGTGCCGGGCTGGGCGGCGACACGGGACGGGTGGCAGCAGACCGGGAGGCTCCGCGGCGGGACCCGGCGCCTGAGGGGCGGGCGCGGGGCGGGCGCGGCCGCGGGGCCGGACCTCCGCGCCGCCGGGGGGCGCCGCGCGGCGCTGGGCGGGCGCGGCGGCGGCGCCGCCGTTTCCGGGTTGGCTGCGCGGCGCTCGGGGCGGCCCCGCCTGCAGCCGCCGGCACCGGGCCCGGGCCTCGGCAGCTCCGCGGGCCCCGCGCCCGCCGCCCCCGGGCCGGCCCCGCCCCGCCGCGGCCCCGCTCCGGCCTGGCCCTGCCGCCCGCCGCCGCCGCCCTCCTGCGCGCCGCGCCCCGCCTCGCCGGCCTCCCGCGCCGGCCCCGCGCCCTCCTCCTCCTCCTGCTGCAGCCGCCGCCCGGCGCCGCCATGCCCGGCCCGGCCGCCGGCAGCCGGGCGCGGGTGTACGCGGAGGTGAACAGCCTGAGGAGCCGCGAGTACTGGGACTACGAGTCGCACGTCCCGAGCTGGGGGTAAAGCGCCGTGCGGGGACCCGCCCTCCCTCCTCCCGCGGGAGGGCCCCGGCCCCTGGGGAGGGTGTCCCGGTCCCCCGCTCCCGTGCTGGGGTGTCCCGGGGGGCTGCGGCGGGGAGAGGCTGGGAGAGGACCCCGCTCCCCGGCCTGCTGCCGTGTTAGTTGTCCGCTCTTCCCCCAGCACCGCCTCTCTCCTCTTGGTGCCCGCAGCAACCAGGACGACTACCAGCTGGTTCGAAAGCTCGGCCGAGGGAAGTACAGCGAGGTCTTTGAGGCCATCAACATCACCAACAACGAGAGGGTCGTCGTGAAGATCCTCAAGGTGAGTATCCCGTTGATGATGTAAAGGCTTGTGGTGGCTGGGAGCAAGACAGAGAGAAGCTGGGTTGGCAGGGCCAAAGAATTGTTGGATCTCTTTCTTCACTCCAAAACTCCTGTTTTCTCGTTAAGATCATTGGGATGGTGTGTTTGGAAATGGAATTGGTGTCTTGAGTACTGTAGTGATGTTCTGATGTCTCCACCCCTCCTTGTCCAGCATAGCTCAGGGCTGAGAGTTCCTCTGGTGGGGGAGAGCCGAGTCCTGACATTTGAACAGCGTTGCGTGTTCTGTCTGTGTTTGGCAAATCGTATCTGGCAATGCCTGTCTGAAACAGCCCAGGGACAGCCATTTCAACAGGAATGTGAAGCCTGGAGGGGGGAATCCTTCTGTTAATCTCTAGACAGCCGGCATGTGGCCTTTCCAGAGCCAGGCTGTGGGATGCTCAGCAGTTTAAAAAGAACCAATATTTTATATTCAGTCCTTTAGAGGATCTGATGTGGAAAAGAGCTTCATCACAGTCATACTACAAACACTATGGAAACTTGAGGGGGCTCAAGGAAACCTACCAAACTTTGGCAGTGCTGGTGATCTGTTTGCTGGTGTGTTGAACCTGGTGGGGTTGAGCTGTGGGGACCTTTGTGCAGCACTGGGAGGTTGTAGTTTGGGATGGCTGTGCACAGGTTATACACTGCGGGGCATGTCTCACCATGTTTGACACTGAAGCAACAGCTCACAGCAAGCTGTGCTGACTGTCCTAGCAGCACTCTGTGTTGGTGATCTCGGGGCAGGCAGGGGAGTTAAGACAGAGATGAAAGGTTAGAGTTGCAGTATGTTTGATTCTGGCTTGGCTGACACTTGTGGCTGTCACTTGTTGCACCAGCAACACTTATCACTTGTTCCCCAAGAGCACGTGGGAGCCAGTGTCTGACCATGGGTGTCCTAAGAATTTGGGCACACATTCATCCACAGCATGCAGGGGGTTCTGAGCTTAATGTGCCCGTGCACCACTGAGAAGAGCAGCTTTCTGGGACATGCATATCTGCAGGGCTGTAGCCTTAAGGCACTCACTAGATCCACTCAGATGGCATGTCTGGCTGTCTCTGCTGACATTCCCACTCTCTCAGTGTGCCTGCTTCCTCGGGATCTGCCTTAGCTTCCCAAAGAATTTGTCATGGTTTGTCCAGCCAGCACTTCTGGGAAAGGTGTCATCTTCCATCTGCCTCTGGGAGGAGGCACGCAAACCCCAGCTTTGGCTGTGGGCAAGGAGGTGGCCAGGTGAGCTGTCCTCTGTGGCTGAGCCTGACGTGAGAGTGGTGAGGTTCACGTGTCCTTGCTAAGCCAGGTTCCTTTGGTGTGCTCCCCCTCCTTTGGATTCTTCTGTGGTTTGGGGTTTTGTCTTTTTTAAAGCAGATGCAGGCAGGAGTTTTTGCTGTCAGACAGTAGTCACAAGTGGCAAGTGCAGAGCTGGATTTTACAGCAAGATGCCTGGTGGCTGGCCTGGGGAAACTGTGCACTTGTGCATGCTCCTCTGGAGCCCTTGGTGGCCTCTTTGGGACTGCTGTAGTTTATTGAAATCCTAGCTTGGGCACCACATAGAAAGGCACCGCAAGACTGAAAGGAGGCTGCAAGAAAAGTCATCAGAAACCCTGCTCCTTGCCTGTTCCCAGCCCAAAGA